AGAAGCCCCTCCGGCAGCCCAGAGACGGCTGGAAAAGCAGCGGGCGGCTGTCGGCAGGACCTGGGACAGTTAGTCCCCTGGCTTCTCTTCCAGGAGAGGAACCCCCGAATATTCCTCCTTGGCTCTCTGCTACTTGGAGATCTTAGCTGCTCCCCCAGCCCACCCCCTGCTCCTTGCTGGTGCCTTTTAAAGCCACGGGTGTTTTTTTTAAAGCTGCTGCCCATGAAGGAATCTACCGTGTATGTTTCACCGGGAAGCTGGGGGGCGAGTTAGTCCCCTGGCTTCTCTTCCAGGAGAGGAACCCCCGAATATTCCTCCTTGGCTCTCTGCTACTTGGAGATCTTAGCTGCTCCCCCAGCCCACCCCCTGCTCCTTGCTGGTGCCTTTTAAAGCCACGGGTGTTTTTTTTAAAGCTGCTGCCCATGAAGGAATCTACCGTGTATGTTTCACCGGGAAGCTGGGGGGCGTGGGCCATTCTTCCTTGGCTCAGATAGTTATGGCTTGATGGGCCCTGTGGGGTAGGAGGATCAGCAATGCCAGCATGCTCGGGAGACAGGAAGACCCGGGGTTTGCCCCTGCATGAAGAACTTCCTGTGTTTAAACGGGCAGGAATATCCGCTCGCAAGCTCAGTTCAAATGAAAACACTGGAGTTGTGGAGGGAGAGGCTAATTCAGACCAGCTGGACTTTCCGGGAGGAGAGCTGGGAAGAGGAGGAGAGGGATTTGTAGGAGCTGGGGTGACAATACATGAAACCACTGGAGCTGCTTTGCCTTTGTTGTTAAAGAAGGGCACGCTCCGTATAAATTAGCAGCTTCAAACTCATCTGCAGCTTCTGTTGGAAATAATGACGGGGAGTATTTATTGAATAGAAGCTGCCATCCTCGGCTGGTTTTTGCTGACAGTCGCAAGGAGAAAGGAACCTTACCTTAAAAGCAGCCCTGGAAGGAATTATTTGGCTGGTGATTTTTTTTTTAAAGAGATGCTCCGTGTATCCGCTTGGTTCCACCGGGATTCCTGGAGGGGCTATGGAATGTAACTGAGTTGGAAGCTTTACTACCATGGAAATTCGCTCCGGCGTGGATTGCCATTTGACTTCTGTGGAATACAAATTCCGGTGTCCGAGCCGTTTTTAGGATTACAGTCTAAAACCTGAGTGGGGTTGTCGCGGACGCAGAATGCATTTCTTTTTGGGGTGGCTGGCAAGTGAATGAGGTGGTGTCTTCCTGAATTGGGGAAGTATGGGTAAGCCACTAAGCAGGCCAGACTGTTTACGGCAGAATCCCACTTGCTTGGGGAAAGGTGAGGAAGAGGATGGGTATATAGAGGACTGCTATGTCCCCCAGCGGTCCATATATGACACAATGAGAATAAATGAACAAATTGATCAGGGGTCTAAACTTAATCAGCCTTCCAAAAGCACCATAGACAAGATGGAGGCTGGAACCATCTCCAGCAATGGGACTATAGGCGCAGCCAATGTCTTTGAATCAAGGGCACCAGACAGTAAAAAGTTAGACGAACGAGTCATTTTTGACGCGCTGAAACTCAGCAGCGACGTCACGAAGTCAGCACCCGCTCCCCCGCGGAGAAGGCCAAACCCGGAAAGGAAAGAGAATGTGAACAGGAGGTCGTGGAAATCTTTTATGCCACCCAATTTCCCTGAGTTTGCAGAAAGGGTTGAGGCCTCCTTGAGTGAGGTCTCCGAAGCAGGGGCCTCCACTTCCTCTTTACAAGAGAAGCGGGAGTCGAGCGCCGGGTTGGGGGAGAGCTCTGGGCAGGCCCGTGATGGAGAAGCAATGTCAGAAGCGCTCACTTTGGAACACGTCCCCAAGTCGTCTGGCCTTCCAGAAGCCCAAGAGGCAAGGCCGCTCAGCGAGGACGGCTACGACTGTTTCCAGGATGAATGCCAACCCCTTCTGAAACCGGAAGATGCCCCTGCCAGGTCCGTGGTTCTCCCCCGGGACCGGAAACCCTCAAGTGCCACGTGGCCAAGAGCAAGAAGAAACATTATCAAGGGAAGCCTGAGTAGTGGGCATCGCGACGCCTTGGAAGCCGCCCTGGCAGACTGCACTGTGGAAACCGTGCCGCTGTCTCCCTGCCTGAGTGAAGAGCTGTTGGATCCGGGAATGAATATCCTCATCACCCCCAGCCTGCGAGAAAAAACGGAGTCCGAGCTGCGATTCGAAGAGGATGAGAGATGGATAATGATGGAGGCTGAGGAGGAGTGGGAGGCGGAGATGCTGTCAGAGGGAGGAAAGACGGTTCTCTTGACAGATGAGAAAAGGAACTGTTGCTTGGCAGATATTTCTGAAGAAAGGGAACAATTAATTGCTACAGCCGTGCCGACAGAAACAGCAGACTGTTCTGCTGGTGTCCTGGGAACCTCTCACCACCCAGCTCCTCGCCCGGTGCACTGTGATGACTCACAGCTGCATGATAGCAGCTTAGCTTCTGTTCCCCAGGAAACGTACCAGGATCCAAACGGCACTTTTGCAGCTAATGTGTGTGATACCGAAGCTGTGACAGTTCAGTATGAACCTGAGGACTTGGCTCCCAATTCGGTGCGCGGCGACAGCCCTCTTGTCCCCGAGCAGTTCTCTGACACGGATTCTGTGCAGATGTTCCTTGAGCTCGAAAAGCAGTGTCTGCGCGAGGAAGGGGATGGAGCTGCATTGCTGCATCTGGAGGGTCAGGTCTCTGAGGGGTGCTCGGAGGGGCTGGACCCACCAGCAGACTCTGAACAGCTGGCAGCGGCCGCGACAGAAGCGTGCCAGCAGGCAGCTCCTTCGGACGTCAGCGCTGCAGACTCTGCGATTGTGTCAGATCTCGAGGACTTGGATGGGACGTGCGGTTCGCAGGTGGCGAGTACAATCGAACCCACGACAGAGCCGTACTCGGAAAAGGAAACCTCCTCGGTGACCCAGACGGACTCCAAAGAAATAGGGCTTTCCAGTCCAAGGGCCACAGCTGCGCTGGCCAGCCAGTCAACTAGAGGAGGCCAAAGAATTGGAAAGCGACTTGCTGACGGATCGAGACACAACGGGAGGTTGTGCAGCAGGGGGGACGCTCGGCGGTGAAGCGACCGTGTCTCCTGTAGCAGATACAGTTGAAATGCCCTGCTGGGAAGGCAGGTTTCCCTCTGGAGAGGATACCGGAAGCATGTCCCCGAGCCACATGCTTCACTGTCCGCCGTTCGGCTCTGCCACCACGGAGGCACTGGACTCCCAGCTGGGTTTTTACTGGCCGAAAGACGCGGTCGCTGCGGAAGGGGCTCGTGGTTCCGAGGAGAGCGAACGTGCTCAGCCTGAAAGGGCTGAGTTCTCGAGCTGGGGCGTCGCGGAGCTGGCGTCGGAGGACGAAGTCACGGACTTGGACAAAGAGAGCGACCGATCGGAGGGGCGGATTCATGGGGCCGCAAGTTCAGACCCGCATGGTTTTTCTGAAGCAGCTTTTCCAAGCGATTCTGTGTCCGAGCTGGACTCTGAGGCCCAGGTGAAGTCCACAGAGTCCCTGGAGGACCTGAAGTCCGAAGAAGCGGTGCCCCTGGATGAACTGCTGCCCCTAGATGGGATTATGCGCGGGGGAGCGTTCCTGGGGCTCCATGGGCTTCAGGAGGGTGTGCCAGGAACGGTGGGCCGGGTAAGGCTGGAGGGTTCCACGGGAGAGGCAGACGTCTGGGGACAAGGAGACTTAGCCCGGCTGTTTGAACATAGCTGGGACGATGGGTCGATACAGTTTGTGCCTGGGGATACTCCCTCTCCCGACTCCCTGCAGCATGTGGAC